ATACTTTTTGTTATGCAAGAGTCCTAGGTAGATAAAAAAGAGGAAAATGAAATATGAATTTTTTAATACTTTCATCTCATTTGTATCAATATTTGGAATTTTTTCAACTTTCATGTTTTTATCAGTTCGTGTATTTACTTAATGTAAGTTGAAATTTGGATGATTGGAAGCATGTAAAAAAAAATAGTCAGTTTTTTTTCATTCATTTTTATTTTTAATTATTTTATTGTTATTTTAGTCATTATTATAAATTGAAATATAATTTTTTAATGAAAATATTGCGTATTTTCAAGTAAATTAATTTCCTGTATTTTTTGCATTTGTATCATAAAATATTATGAAAAATCTAAGGCGACATTTTCGATAAAGAAACGTCTTAAAAAATAGCCTGTTTTTCATTCATTTTTATTAAATTTTTTTAACTGTGATATTTTTTTAATTAAATTATTGGATACATATCGAAAATTTATTAATCACAAAAATATGAATCTATTTTCAAGTCACTTAAATTTTTTTCTTGTTACAGTTTTATCAGTAAATATTATGAAACATTAAGAGTGAGAATCACCGCTCCTTCGCAAAAGAAAGATGGGGATAAAATCGGCGAAACAAAACTATTAATGCACCATTTGTTCCAGCCCGTTAAGACACTTACAATGTTTCTATTGGTGAAAAGGAAATTTTTTTTTATAAGCTATAAATTCATTCTCATTTTTCATGGTAAGAGCAAAAAGAATTTCATCATAGGCTATTTGCGATTATATTGAAAGACGCAGCTGTGTAATTCCAAATCGAAACCCCCTATTTAACCCTTTGTCAAATCCATAAAAACCATCAATCGCACCATTTATTTATATTTTTCTTTTCTTGCTCTCTCATTCCTTTTTTTTTGTTGTCACCTGGACGTGAGAAACATTAACACTTCTCCCTATCTAATCGAGGGCAATTGAAAGCTGATTAATGTCAGGGGGCAGCGCCCCTGACGGCAGCGATAGGAACCAATTTAGGGCGTTGAAAGAGTGGATACCGAGACACCCGTATATTAGAGGGCAGTGCAATATTGGATGTTGTGTTGCTAAAAAGTTCGTAGATTACTCAATATCGAAGTACTGGGTTTGTTGTATACAATAAATACACGATAGTGCACGCGGTATGCATTTTAATGTTGTTTTCCTGTCTATAAATTGTTTTCGTGTACACTTATTTTGTTCTCTTCCATTTTACTTTTTGAAGGTTAGTTAAGGTCTTGAAGATTCGGTGACAGAAATCTAGGTATGGCATCCATTTTTCACAAGGTAACCTCCACATTAAGAAACTGGTTCTTTTTTACAAAACGTTGAATTATTTTTAGTGATACTTCGGAAGTAACAGTAAAAACTGAAAGGCACTTATTTTAATAAAAAAAGCATATAGTTTGATATTTCAGGAGGAAATAATCAAGAGCGAGAATGGGCGGCTTAATTTGTATTATTTTCTATGCCAAGTTTATTTATTTTTCTTAATAAATACATCGAAAATATGAAATTCTATGTAAATTTAATTCGTTTCTATTTTCAAACACTACATTCACTATTCTGTAACATTCAAAATGAAGAAATCAATACCTTTACTTTATCTTTGTTTAGCATTACAAAAAAGTGTTTTTTAGAGTATAAGAGTTAGAGTTTTTATTGAGTTTATGTCTATTGTTAAATTTCTTGTTTTTCCCCCCTTTCTTTTCTTTCGTTAACAAAATGCATGTAAAGTATTCATAATCTTTTAATATTATGAGAAATATATGACTATTTTATTGCATTTGCGTTTATTGTAAACTGTTTTTTCTTCTTTTTTTTGTAGACCGTGGATAGAAAGTATTTCTTTTTCTCTTTCTTTCTTTTTCTATTCACATCATGAGAAACATACTAGCATTTTCCAACAAAGGAGGAGGAATACTTTGTATTACAAGCTAAAGCAAAAAACAACACGATTTAATCACGGATGAAAGTACATAAATGGACATACTTTAGTTTTCGTTCTACAAATGACATAAATTCATTTGGTGTTTAGACACTAAGGCAGATTCTTGTTTATGGAACTGAAATTATAGTATGTATATTTATATACTTTCGTGTGTGCTTCATTCTCGTTTTTGTTTTATTTATACTACCATTTTATGGCATTTATGCTTACTGTAAAATGCATTGTTTTTTTCTATCTTTCTGTTAATAAAATGTATGTAAGGAATCCGTTTTCCTCTTTCTCTAATATTCGAAATACATGGGCATTCTATAACAATAAAGTTTAATTGCAGAGTTTATTGTTTTTAATCATTCTTTCATTACTAAAATATAATTAAAGTGCTATTATTCCATCTATTCATATTAGGATAAACATGCAAATATTTTATTTCATTTATTTTAATTTCAAAATCTCTTCTTCATTTCCGATTCCTTCACAAATAAAATGTATTTAAAGTATGGATAAAGCATTATGTAATTTTTCATTTCATTTTCAATTTGTTTGATAAATGAACAAACTGTAATCAACGGACTGCATCGTACAATTCGAAATATGAACGTGCTCTATCCTCTCTTATATTAGTCAGAACTTTGCACATTTCAATTTAATACTTTAAAAAGTAAAATGTTTGAAAGGAAGAAAACTTGCATTATTAATTTTAAGTTCAGTCGTAATCAATGAATACCAACGAGTCTTATACCTACAATATTGTAGAGTACAGAACGGAATATGAACATATAGTCTATGTTTTTAGATAAAATTAATTTTTGAGTAAATGCATATGAATTATGGCAGAGCATTAATACATGAAAAATATGAGTGTAAATTAATTATGTAAAAAGTATGGAGGTAGACTTAATTTGGTATTTCGTAAATCAATCAATCAAAAAGCTAAACGTCTCTAGACAATATAAAATTTTGAGTTTCCAAATTTGACATGTTTGTCTTTTTAAGTGTTATTTTAATTCGTTCTTCTGTGCAAAAGGGTAACTAACTTTTACGATTTAAGAGTTATCTTCATTCGTTGTTCTGTGCAAAAGAGCAACTAACTTTTACGATTCAAGAGTTATCTTAATTCGTTGTTCTGTGCAAAAGAGCAACTAACTTTTATGATTCAAGAGTTACCTTAATTCGTTCTTCTGTGAAAATGAGCAGCTAACTCTTACGATTCAAGAGTTATCTTAATTTGTTGTTCTGTACAAAAGTAATTATAATTCAATTTTTTCATTTCAATTTTTTTAGCTCGTTACTGCAAAAGTAATTTTATTTAAAAATACATTTTATTAAATAATCATTACTTTTTTATAGAAATGGTAAATGAAAAATTTTATTTTTTTATACCTCTTGAATAGTTTTATGGGTGAAATTATTTCTGATTACTTTAAAATTATTTCTGATTACTTTAAAATTATTTCTGAGTATAGTTATGCTAAAATATCAAATACAATAATTCATGCTTTTGATTATTTGACATAATATTGTTTTACAGTAATACCCAAGATAATTTGTATTTTAAAGAGTCGCTTTTTACAAAGTTTCCAGAATATTTTATTGTTCAAAATTGGATATTTAAACTTAATTTATACAAGTTAACACTCGACGAATTTACGAAAAATCAAATATTGGATTGAATGATCACATTATTGCTTTTTTCTACCTTCGAAATACCCGGGTAATTTTGTAAAAGAACCTTAACTTAAAATGTAAATTTGTTTTATGTTCAGACTCTCTTCTAAACGCGCAAAAAATAATAATAATAGAAATCATTTCAAAAACATTTTGCATAAAAAGAGAATTCGTGGAAAAAATTGCCACTGATAATTACTCTAAAACCGCAGTGAATTCTGCGGGTAAATAAATAAAAATAATATAATCCGTAGGAGGATGAAAACCACAAATCAACATCATTATTTCCGTAGCGTTACAAAATAACAAATTATAGTAAATAATATCTGCATTTGAAATGTTCTTCTAATTTTAAAATTATCAGAAGTTAATTTTTTATCAGTAAACTATTCCTTCTTAATTTTTATATGTAAATTATATCTATGCAGATTACCCTTTTATAAGTCAAATAAGTCTTATTTCCTTAATAAAATGTTTTCAGTTCATTTTCTTTTCTTTTCCTTAAGCACTCTTTTTAATAATTTTTTATGAAGAATGAATAATTCTTGCAATTGCTCAATAGTTTATTTATGTTTGTTTTCATATTTCCACTGAAAAGAGCAGAACTTTTATCGAATCTATACATTTCTATTCTTTAGAACTATCTATATACTTGTCTTAATTATTAATTAATTTAATTATTATTAAATTAATTAATATATTAATTAATTTAACGTATTAATTAATTAATATATTAATTAATTTAACGTATTAATTAATTTAACATCTTTTAACATCATAATAAACTCGTAAACTTTAGGAAAGTTAGAAATAAAATCTCTAATTTTTATCTTTCCCCACTTACAATTAGCGTATTAATTAATTTCAGACATGATTTCTCTTTAAATTCTAAAAAACAAAAAAAGCAAAACATTCAAAAACTAAACTTCAAAATCTTTTACTTTCAAATTTCTGCCTTTTATATTTTCCCGTTAACAATGTTCGTAATTATCATTGGAAACATATCAAGTCCTTTTTTCAGTCGCATTTGTAAAAGAGGAAAAATTTTCAAAAAATTTTCTGTTTAGGTTTTTACATTTTATTTACTTATTTATTTTTTCTCAGATACAATATTCGTAATTTTAAAAGAATTTCAGAGAAACTTTTTTTTCAAATTTAAAAAGCTGAAAATTTAGTTCTGTATATAAATTTTTTTAAACTCTCTTTCCATTTGAAATGTTAGTAATTATCAATGCATTTTCAATCAAAATTTTTTTCAAAACACTTCAAAAATAAGAAAAAAGCGAAAAATTTATTTATTAACTAAAAGAAAACATTAGAAAAAAATACCTGAAGATCTACAATGTTTGTACAATATATACAATAAATTAGTTTGACACTAAATTCTCATAAAAACTTCTCAATCGAAGAAATTAAATGACAAGTTTCTTTGAAGATATTATAAAACCTTATAATATCTTCTCAATAGAGTAATTATGTAATCTGTCAACTGGATTAGATCTTTTTCCAGTTTTGATGTCAAATATTTTCGGCAAAAATTTTCCTAATCCGGAATTATTCGGTTGACCCGCTACCTGGATAGCTGACGTAACGACATGGGACATCATTGAAGAGCTTCGGGGTGGTCCAGAGGGTGCTGCTGCAGTCAAAATTCTTCTCTTCGATTCTTGACGTACTTTGTCAATAGTGTTCTGAAGAGGCTTCACAAGGTCTTCCCGCAAAGCAAATCCATTTTTATCTACAAGCATACATTCGCATCATAATTATTATTAAATATTGAAAGCAAACAACATTCCAAAATTTAAAATGATCAACTCTTAATATTTCTTAACATCCATATTATTATATATTAAGATAATTATTATTAATGCAGAAGATTAATTAAATGTCTTGAACTACCAAGCTTTACATACCAAAAATAAAATTCTTAATAAATCTAATAAATACAATTATTATAAAATCTTATAAATAATTTAAATTGAACTATGCCTTTTTTCAGGGGTGGGGGGTGACAATGAACAAAATAATCCTTGCCCTTATCCATGCCGAAATTATTTTTACGAATACCTATTTCCAAACATTTTAAGTTATATTTAAAGCTCTGATTTCAAAAATAAAATTATTAATAAATCTAAATTTTTCTTGACACTATTTATATTTATCATAAGAAACAAAATATTCCCTACTAATTCGAGCACTGCACTTGTTCAAAATATTTTTTAAGTAATTTTTGAATGTTGATAATTAATAACAAACAGTGAGTGCTGATGATATTTTTATAAAATATTGAGAAAATTTAGAATAAATAGGTAATTGCAAATGCTCAACTTATTTTTAGAGTTATTTTTAAATAAATATTAGTAATTAATTTGATCGAAGCTGCTGAGTGGTTGGTTGCTGATTAAGACTGATTCTTTGCTATTCGAGAGTATTGAAGGGATCGAATTCGAACTTTCTATCAGAAATGTGGGGAATCTAGATTTTAAGTTTTACTCAACTTATAATCCCTAAAAAGGTCTTGATGTGCCTTATCAATTATAATTAACGATAAGGAATAACATATATTTTAAGGTTAATTTGTGTTAGTTTATAAAATCATTGGTGTAAGGTAAATGTTAATCGAATTTGTTATTTGATAAACGTTTATCAGTTGTTTAGCAAATTCTTTAAAGAATAACTTTAATTCAGATAAATATTGATCATAACAACCAAGTGTTTTTAATTAGTTTTAAATTGTTCTAAAAAACTTACATTTCCTTTGTCTAGATATGCACCATAATATAATGTATGTAATGCATAATTTAATATATTAATGACACATCATGTAAAATCATCAACAACAAGAAAGAGTATAATTTGATTGAAAGGAAAGAGCAATGAAGCATAAAAGCAAAATAACCAACAATTCATCTATTAAAGATTTTAGGAAATTGGCAATTGGCATTTTAGTGAATTGGAAAGAATCATGGGCCTCTTTATGAGTAAAAACATCAAACTACCAATCGAGTGGATATCGAACTTAGTATACTATACAGCCGAACATAAACGACAGGTGTTTCCAGTCTAAAAACAAAATTACCAATAATTCATTCATTGAAGAGTTTAGGACAATAAGTAATTTTTCAGTGAATTCTTAGAATTAATTTAACAAGTAATTTTTCGGTGAATTAGAATCAACTTTACAATGCATAAAAACATCAGGAATCTGTCCATTGTTTATTTGCACGCTAAACAACATTTAACTTAATTTTCAGCGCATCCGAACACGAGATGTCCTTACATCCAAAAATTTAATTGTTTTCTAAACATGCTTTACCGCAAAATAGTTCATTAAAACTTTTTCATGTTACATATGGTTTTTATTTTCTTACCTGCAATGTACTTAACAATTCTTGGATTTCTTTTGGTCGTAAGTGGACTTAGTTTTGCATCGATTTGATAATGCCTGGAATATCTGGAGGGCTCGTCCCTCCTACTTATGTATGGACGAATGTTCCTCTGACGATTTCTATATTCTTCACGTGGAGATGATGACCACGGTTTGTCAATTCTTCTCTGTCTGTCATTCACATTCGTATTGAAAACTGATTCCTGGTGCCTGCAGTATAAATAATTTTTAGTTTTAATACCTTTCCAGATGCTTCAAAGCAACTTTTGTGTTTACAAAGATATGAATGGATATTAAATGAGAGATTTGCAATAAGTATATTTAATATGATTTCATATATCTATATATCTGTCTATCTTTCTCGCTCTTTCTTGTCCCGCAGTGGACTGATCGTTAAGACACGGTTCCCAGCAGATCACCGAAGTCAAGCATCACTGGCTACGGTCAGTGTGCGGGTGGGTGACCACTTGGATCAGTCTGCGTAGGGACCGAGGGTGTGCGGTATTGGTCCTCGTTAAACTGTGCTACCGTAAAGTGCTCGACTTCGCGCGCAGGTCGTCGGGCTACCGAAGCGGGGGTGCCATCCCCTCCGCAGAGGATCAAAATTGTGATGGCATGTCTTCGGATCATCCTCCGGGATGCTTCCCAGACCGTTGCCAATAGCCCATTGTGCAGCTCTAGTGCGACGTAAATTAACAACAACAACTTTCTCGCTCTCTCTATTAACTGAAAATGCTTTGTTTGCATTTATGCAGTCAGCTGTAAAAAGGGCAATAATTTTAAAAATATTTTTTTTTTTACAAATTGGGGTTAAGTATTACTGGTAATGATGTTTTCATCATTGATTGTTTGAAAAATTTATGTTATAAAAATTGCATCTAAATCATCAATGCATCTAAATCATCAATGCATCTAAATCATCTAATTGTATCTATGATGTTACATGAATTCCATCTAAAAATAATAGTTGTACCTAATATTATTATGAAAATTAAAATTTTTTAGCTCTGTTAACTTTGTAGTAATTTACTGTAGACTGCCTAAGTTAAACGTAATTGTACTGAAAAATGTAAGTTTCTGAAAGTTGTTTTAAGGGAATTGTGTGTTATTTTATTTAATGCTCATTAAAACCGTTTTCTTTCTCATTAAAACCGTTTTCATTAAAACCGTTCACTTTGTACGTCTCTGAATTATTTCATATAATTAGATTACAACAAACTTAGATTTTCGTGCAACCGAAACCTAATGAATCACTGCTGTGCAAGGCGGAACTAAAGTTATCGAAACATGTTTGATTGCCGGAGGAAACAGAATGAAGTTACATAGTGATTATAAGAGCCTCTAAATCTCTTTATACAATCAATCTCGCTTTGAAAGTTTAGTCATCTATCTTTTCTTACTAGTGATTTGACAGATTTCGATGTCATTTTCGGTTTTTGCTTGCTTGAGCATTAATTTGCTACTCCTGACGCTAAAATGTTTTGACTCAATTTTTAACTCAATTTTTAACTTTTAAAAATAATTAAGTTAAAATCGAAGGTTACGCAATACCCTCTTTATATTTTCAATTTAAATTACTCGTATTTGCATCGAAAATGTTCTTTTTTAGTTTTTTTAAAATTATTTTTAATCCTACACTTGGATGTCCACATTCCACCAAAAGACGCTGCTGAATAATTTCGTCGTGAACTGCGTAACTTTTTACAATTTTGATGCAAATACTATCTGTTTAAAATTTTATCGTCACATAATTTTATTCTAAATGAAATGCATTTAATTTTACTCATTTATATAGAATTAAGCCATTAATATGGAAGCCATTAAGCCATTAATATGGAAAATTGGGCAGATATATATTTATACTAAAATTCTTTTGTTATTTTAAAATATTTCAAAACTAAACTTCAAATACTTCAGAATAATATTTTAAAAACAAACTGATTGATCAGGAATTAAATACAAATAATTAAAAAAAATGTAATAATTACAAATAACGTGAAATTAAAACTTATAGTATTTTTTTAAGAAAAAAGATCCTTTAAAATAAAATTTGTGAGCTGTTTTTTACATTTTTTGTACTATAAATGTCAACTTCTTTTCATCAAAAAAATAATATTAAATCGCTGCAAGCGTATTTTAAAAATGTTGATTTTTTTTCATCCCTTGCATAACGTTGTTTAAAAGCTACACTAAGAAAAAAAGCATGTTCAAAATTACCAGAATATGGTAAAATTTATCGTGTTTCAGACTGTATGGAAACACTAAAAAACAATAATAAGATGTGATTTTTATTAGGTGCTAAAATTTAGTAATTTTATCATGATGCCTCCAAAAAATCGCATAAAAATCTTTTATTCGGTTAAAAAGAAAATTTCATTTATGTATTTCTTACTAAATATGTGGTAATAAGAGCTATAATTTTGAAAACTAGAATTTCTAATAAACCGTTGTTAATTGAACAAAAAAATTAAAAATTAATGATTCAAATACCGTATATTTTGGTTTTTAATACCAGAATTATGTAAATTTTTTACTGGAAATCTCATAACCATACAATACGGTATTTTACCAGAATTTTTCTCCCTGTCTGTATGATGTTTGTTTAAACGGAAAAGAAATATTCTAAAGCTTTGCTTAGTTAAGAGCACATTAATGTGGTGAACTATAATAAGATGTGCAATATAAACTGAGAATTGAACTTGATAACAATTGTTATACCTGAGGCTTCTTGGTCCACCATTATATTGTTGATGAGGTAACCTCGGATTATGATATTCCTCAATAACCTCATTTTGCTGTAGATTAGGGAGTTGCTTGGTTATCGGTGCTCTTGAATGAGGCATCGGAGCTTCTGGTCCAGGATATATTGAGTTACTCTCACTACTAAATCCCTGTGAACCTAAGCTTGAATATTGACTGTAATAGGAAGGACCCTGAGGACGATTAAGGTAATTCTGACGAGGATCAGCTTGGTAGGGAGCTGAGTCATACTGAGCGGTGATAATAGGTATTGAAATGCAAATAATTATCTGAAAGAGAAATTTAGAATATCACACAAATCAACGTTCAACACTTTTAAAAATATAATAGATGCCCATAAGTTGCTTGTTTATTGCTGCTTGAAAAGTTTCGTATTTTCATTAAGCATTATAACTGAGTTCTTTTTAATTTTATATATTAATGTTTTTACGTATGAATTGAGTTCAAATGATCAATTGAAATTATCAATTCAAGTCATAAAGTGTTTTAATATTCATTTTAAATGCGATAAATCCTCGAATATGCTTTATTTCTAAACAAAATGTCAATAATTTACATTATGTGTAGTTATATGCATTTTTATGAAGTAGTTATGTATTCAGACATTTAGCAAATGTCACTCAAGAATATAAGACTATTGCTATTGAAAAAAGTAATAATATCAATTTTAAGTATGTGTGCAATATTTTTTGATTTATATTTATTTACTGTAAATATTGTCTAAATTTTATTTCTAACATCATTTATGCAATGTGTATATAGTGTACTAAATATGGTGATATAATATAGATACGACAATGTTTTTTTAAATTTAAAATCAAGCGTATTATAGGTCAAATTATTAAATTTCATGCAAATTCTATTTGTTAATTAATCTTAAATATGATATATTATATTAATAGTTGATCAGAAAAAATATAGTATTTAAAAGAAATATTCAAAAAGATAATAACATATATATAATATTCTTTAACCATAAAGATAAAATGTATCCTTTTTGTACTCATCTCCCATTGACAAAACCATTGATGTGGTAAAATAGGATTGATACGAATCAAAATTAAAAACAATTTAAACTCAAATTAATTGTTTCAAGTTTTTGCTTGATTTATTGTGATTGATGATGCTATAGTATTTCAATAGGAAATTTAAATTGTATTATTTAGAGTTAAGATAGAAAATAATAGAAATATTTGTGCAAGTTTTTTTCTATGAACTTTATTTGAAATTTACTAGGATACAAAGGGAAGAGAAAAAAGCTTAAAACGTATTCTCACTTGAATATGTCCCTGCTATATGAAGGAAATTGAGTTTAACTATCGGTAAAAATTCTATTCAAAGTAAAATTAAGTTTAAACATTATAAATTTCTTAGACGTCATTTTTTTTGCTGGAATTACTTTCAAGTTTTAAAATTAAAATTGATTTTTAAAAAGATAATTGTGTCAGTGGTTTATTATAAATATCATTAATATGTTAGTTTTTACTGAATTAAGGAAAGTTTAAAAAAAATTGACTTTGAAAATAATTTCATTTCATGATAAGCAATGTAATTTTTTTTCAGTAAGACATTAAATATTTTCATATTTTGTTCTAGACTACCTAAATTGAATTGAATATCACACATATGGGGAAACTTATTGAATCCTGATTCATTTATAATATTGTATCATAGCGAAACAATATTAAAACAGTGATAAATGTTTTCTTTTAAAGTTTTGAGAGAAATATTACAAATTGCAATATTTGAGATAATCCGTAAAATAATTTTAAAGACTGATAGAAGCTTTTTCACAAAGCTGCTATGAATATTTACGTTAAACTTGAGTTTAGTAAAAAATAATATTAATAAGATCCACAGTAAACCAATTAAGAGGATGCCATACTACGGAGGAAACTTTTTGTCGTAAATTCTGTTTCACCTCCATGAATTATTTAAAATTTAAAGCATAGAAAAAGTGAGTTCAGACAAACGTAGAGCACCGATGTTTCAAATATTGAAAGGAAATTTTTAAAATATTAAAATGAAAATAAATTACGAGAAGATAACTTAAGATTACGCAATGGAGAAGTTCACTTCCAATAATTTGTTTCCACTTTGATGTTTTGAATTTTTTTTTTTTTTTTTGTTGTCATCAATTAAATGATTTTTTTGTCACCATTTTGGCTTTTTCTAAGTTAGCCAGAACATACTTTTTCCTTCTAAATTTCAAATTAATAATGGAGGTTAAACAGAATTTACGTCGAAAAGTTTCACCAGTGGTATGGCATCCTCTTAATTTGGAGTAATAAAACAAAAAATATCCATTTTGCACTTATATCGTATTTCACATTTTACTGTAACAAATCAATTATTTCATAAATAGAATTAATCAGCTTATAATTATAAATCAATTTTTCTATGATTTAAATCATTGATGGTTTAATACATCAGACTTTAAAATGTGATGGAATTCTGATAAAAATACAAGGTATCTTTATCACAATTCAAATACCAACAAAAATCAAATCCATTTTGCACTTATATCGTATTTCACATTTTACTGTAACAAATCAATTATTTCATAAATGGAATTAATCAGCTTATAATCATAAATCAATTTTTTTATAATTTAAATCATTTATGGTTTAATACATCAGATTTTAAAATGTGATATAATTGTGATAAAAATTCAAGGTACTCACTAGGCAGTGCATTCTGATGTGTTAGGTGGTTTACTGTAACTTCTGCAATTGAGAATCTTTCTTAAGATGGTTTTCTTTTATACCAAGTTCGTGCAGGATATGGCCTAAAAGCATATTCAAAACGTTTCCAAATTCTATATGGATTCCGTGATCTCTATTGACGTCTCAAACGCTTTGTCATTTCAATGTTCAAAGATCATATGACCATGACCTTTACGCATTAGTGCAGCTTTTCGTGGTTATTTAGAGCGGTTCATTTCTTCGGTGCGTCCGCTTGTCCACAAAGAGTTATTGGGAAGACGAGATTTCAATTGATATCTGGCTCTCTTGTTCAGAAGCATGAAATATGGAAGAAGAAACTTTGGAAACATTATAATGCTTCAATCTAAATTATTTGTTGGTCTTTAATCGTTTAATGATTTACTACTTCGAATAAAGGTTTCAGAACATACTTTCAGATGGAAAGTTAACTAAAATGTAATTTTTTATTTTATTTATAATTTTGTTATAATTTGATTTCTTTAAGCTGCTGTTGATTACAATAGTTTTATGATTTACTGCTTCTAATAAAGGTTTCAGAACAAACTTTCAGATGGAAAGTTAACTAAAATGTGATTTTTTTTTTAATTTTGTTATAATTTGATTTCTTTAAGCTGCTGTTAGTTACAATAGTTTTATGATTTACTGCTTCTAATAAAGGTTTCAGAACAAACTTTCAGATGGAAAGTTAACTAAAATGTTATTTTTTTTTTTTTAATTTTGTTATAATTTGATTTCTTTAAGCTGCTGTTAGTTACAATAGTTTTATGATTTACTGCTTCTAATAAAGGTTTCAGAACATACTTTCAGATGGAAAGTTAACTAAAATGTGAATTTTTTTTAGAAATTTCGCTATAATTTGATTTCTTTAAGCTGCTGTTAGTTACAATAGTTTTATGATTTACTGCTTCTAATAAAGGTTTCAGAACAAACTTTCAGATGGAAAGTTAACTAAAATGAGATTTTTTTATTTTACTTATAATTTTGTTATAATTCTTTAAGCTGCTGTTGGTTACAATAGTTTTATGATTTACTACTTCTAATAAAGGTTTCAGAAAGTATTTTCTAAAAAAGAAAGTTAGCTAGTATGTAATTTTTTATTTATGATTTTGTTAGAACTTAATTTCATCTTAGTTATAGTTGGTGTCAATAATTTTAGGATTTGTTTATTACTTCTTTTAAAGGTTTCAGAAAGTATTTTCTGAAAGAAAATTAACTAATATGTAATTTTTTATTTATGAGTTTGTTAGAATTAATTTCATCTAAGTTATTTTTGGTCTCAATGGTTTTGGGATTTATTTCTTCTGTTAAAGGTTTCAGAAAGTATTTTATAAAAGAAAGTTAAATAAAGTGTAACTTTTTATTTATGATTTTGTTAGAATTTAATTTCATCTAAGTTATAGTTGGTGTCAATAGTTTCATAATTTACTGTTTCTGAAAAGCTTTTCACTGAGTGTTTTGTAACAGAAAATTGACCAAAATATAATTTTTTATCTTTATAGGCTTGTTAGAATTAAGGTTTTTCATTATGAGAAAGTTAAATCAATAAGTTATGCAAAGCTCAATAGAGAACTTTTTCTTTTCTTAAAATAAATAAAGAGCAATATGCTGAATTTTTAAAAGTTTAATAATTTGAAAAAGAACAAAATTCTATATAAATTTTTATTTTAAACATAAAGACTTTTGTTCTTAAGCCCTGATATTCTCCAAAATTTAATATAACTTTCTGTATTGCCAATTTTGTTTATTGTTTAAGAGATATATTTGGCTAAATTATACTTCTCATCTGGTGAAAACAATGTCAAAAGATTTAAGATAGATTTAAATCAAATATTGAATAAAAACCTATGCATTGTAGGTAAAATCAAATGATCCCCTTCGGAATAAGTGCAACTAAAAATTGTTTTGTTAAAAATTATTGGTTAAGTGTCGTTGTTTGAGTTGTTTGTTTTTTAAGCATTGATTTAAAATATGTTTCAGTGTCATGAGTTTTCTGCACCTGCAAGAACTGGCTTATTTAATAACAAATGTTTGTATGTACCTAGTAACATATAAGTATATAATATATAAGTATATAATATATAAGTATATAATATATAAGTATATAATAAATAAGTATATAATATATAAGTATGTAATATATAAGTATATAATATATAAGTACCTAGTAGTACATAATATGTACCTAGGTGCAAGGAAGTAAAGTGGCTTCATTAGGTTGGNTTCTTAAACCCTGATATTCTCCAAAATTTAATGTAACTTTCTGTATTGCCAATTTTGTTTATTGTTTAAGAGATATATTTGACTAAATTATACTTCTCATCTGGCGAAAACAATGTCAAAAGATCTAAGATAGATTTAAATCAAATACTGAATAAAAACCTATACATTTTAGGTAAAATTAAATGATCCCCTTCGGAATAAGTTCAACTAAAAACTGTATTGTTAAAAATTATTGGTTAAGTGTCGTTGTTTGAGTTGCTTGTTGTTTAAGCGTTAAGTTAAAATATGTTTCAGTGTCATGAGTTCTCTGCACCTGCAAGAACTGGCTTATTTAATAACAAATGTTTGTATGTACCTAGTAATATATAAGTATATAATATATAAGTACCTAGTAGGTTATAATATGTATCTAGGAATATGTATCTAGGTGCAAGGAACTAAGTGGCTTCATTAGGTTGGATAGTTTGTGCGATAAAATTCTAGTTGTTTAATCATATTAGGTGAAAGCAGTTAATAAACAGTTTTTCCCACAATTAAAATTTTAAATGCCATCTTAGTTATGGTTATTTGACTATTTGTTTTAATATGGTAAAATAATAGTTAAATAAATTGTTATTTAACCACTTTTTCCGAGAAATTTCTAATAATGTAGAATTGTGTAATATTACTGTACAACACGCTTCAGACTTTTTAACAGAGTGATTTTTTTTAAAAAAAAAAAACTAACATTTCTATGATTTTAGTGTACTATTTTTCAAATTCGACAAATTCCAAATAACGTAATAGTTATGCAATTTTTAGATCTATTTTAATAACAAATTTCTTCTTTAACATGCTTCGTTTCGTTTCATGCTTTTCAAAACATTAAAATATCATATATAAGTTCACTACTTTCTCTGAATAATTTTTACATTAAGTTAATTTCTTTTATTGAATATTTTTTTTGCAAATATTGCCCTGATATAGAGTATTTAACTAACATAAGAAACATTTGACTGTAAATCGTTTAAAAAAATTTAAATTACAAAAGTTATAGCTTCCTTGATAAAAAAAAACTCTTAACAATTGTATTATACAATTTAGATTAAACTCATACAATTTTAAATTCTTTTCAGATAAATTTCTCAAAACTTTAACAATATATAATCACATTTTATTTACATAGTTATTTACTCATAGATTATTAAAAGAAAGATTTTCGTGATTGTCTTATGAGCTTTAAAATATTAGAAATGCCATCAAATTTCGGGGGAAAAAAATCTAATGAATATGCTAAATATGTATAGTCTTTATTTAATGAATAACTATCATATTAAAGTCGTTTACTTTCATGAAACACCTTTATTGTGAATTTTGCCTTTGTATAGATTATTTAATAAGCAATAAAAATATTCGAATGTAGAGTTCTTAAAAAAATTTTAAAATAAAGTCAAAGCATACCGGATAAAAATCTCAAATAATAATACAATTTAACATAAACTGATGCAATTTTAAATTTTTTTCAGATCAAATTCATAAAACTGTGGCAATGAAATCATATTTTGCTTAAATAGTTGTTTAATTATAGTTTATTTAAAAAGATATTTGTGATTATCTTATTAGCCTTTACATATTAGAAAAGCCATGAAATTTCGTGCTAAAGTCTAATCAATATTCTAAATATGTATCGTCTTTATTTAATGAATGACTATCATGTTTAAGTCGTTTTCCTTTATTGAACAATTTTACTGTGAAGAATTAAAAACATTCAAATGAAGATTGTTTAAAAAAAATTCTAAACATTCCTGATGAAAATCATTGATAGTAATGTAATTTAACATAAGCTAATACAGTTTTAAATTGCTTTCATGTAAAATTTTAAAATTGAAATCCTATTTTACTCATGAAGTTTTTTTTCCTCACACAATATTAAGAAAAGAATTTGGTAAATACCGTAGTAGTTTTAAAATATTAGAAATGTTATGACATTTCGTACTAAAGTCAAAGGAATACTCTAAATATGTATCGTCCTTATTTCTTTTCTAAATAGATACACAGACTTAAGAAAAACACTGTTTTTTATTAACCAAGGGCATTTAACAAACTGGTCATTCTCAAGCTATCTATTTTAAGATTTTATGTTTCGATGAAGTTTACAGTTTTCTTCGTGAAATATTTTTAGAATGAAAAATGTTCTTAACCTAATATCATCTCAACTTTTTTTCGTCTAGCTTACAACTTTAATTTAAACATATACATTTTGACAAATATGAGTAGTGTGCCTTTCACAAAACCATTAAAGCGTCTGGAGCTCCTATACTGTAAAAAATTGCCGATCAAATTACCGTATTAAGTACAGGCACTTTGGGGGCCTCATCCGTAATATCCATTTTACCGTAAAATTAACTTTTACCGTAAATTATTATACTGTAATTTTTACTATATTATTTATTTAATTACAGTTTTCAGTGATTTTAAGGTAATTATTACTGTAAAAATTACAGTATATCAGATTTTTGTACCGCAACATGTTCCTGTAAAAATGGATTTTATGGTAAAAAGTACCGGCCCTCTAAGTGTCATTTTTTTACCATAGTTTGATCCGTTCTTTTTTGCAGTGTATACTTTTTGATAATTCTTAAGAAGAAAGGCTTTTTCATTTCTGTATATTTGCATGTTTTCAAACTAATTAGATTTAATTCGAATCTTTAAATGAATGTTATGAAAATAGTTTAGCAATTTATGACCTTGGTATTGTCATATTTTATTATTCACTTTTGAATTATGGGAAATGATATATCATTAAAATGATTAGTTATGAAGTGTTATTTGCTGCATAAAAGTTATCCGAAGAATGCCTGGAAACCATTTTGAAATACTATAATACTATCTTATTTATGTACTAACGT